GGCTAACTGTCTATGCAATTCTTGTCATAAGGTCGTCCCTTACCCTAGGCCAGAGCTGTCCAGCTGGTGGCCTGTTGGCTAGTCTGTAGGCTTGTTGAGATGGCTGCTGGAACCACTGCACTGGTACAGTTTGCTCCACCAGGAACTCTGGAGTGAACACCGGTGCCAGTGCTTGCTCCCCCCGTCCCTTTGCCTGCCACCAAATTGGGCGTCTTTGGTCACTACTGGCAATTAAAACTGGTGGCAGGAGAAAAGGTGGGAAGCAAGTGGTAGAGGTGTTCGGCCACTGGGTCCTAGAGTCACTCTGATGCACTGCTCTGGAAACCATACTGACAAGATACCACCAGAGGTGGGTTGTCCAGTCTCTGAGAATCCCTGCAGTCTGGATCCAGCCTGTGGGGCCAAGTCATTTGGATGCCTCTTTCCTAGATCATTCAGGGCAAGCTGCCTATAACCAACAAGCATGGTGACAATCCTGGAGACTGGCTTACAGAGGGATGTCTCTACTTCTGCATGAGAAATGCAGGGTATGCCTATACTGATACACTTGAAGCTACATATAATGGGCTCATGTGATAATCAGAAAATGGTGTGACATGGGGTGGAGGGTTAATTCTTCTAGCTATTCTGCTAGTGCTATGCCATTAGCACCTCTGAAACTGACCAGGTTCTGTCAGTTTCAAGCTAATAGAGGCAAGGCACTGAGAAACAATGTAAGGAGCTTAATGAGGTGCAAATACTTGAAGAGAGACTGATCATCACACAACCCTGAGTAATAATGTAATGAGTTTTTATAAGGGGAGAAAAGCTGCTGTTCCTACAGGAATTAGCAGTCATGATTAAATTAAGCAGTAAATTCAATATTGAAATCAACAGGATTTCATACATTGTATCATACAGGATTTCATGTATTAGGACATGATTTAAATGCTTTATCCTTGGGTGTCCTAAGTAGTTACTATTTTATTTAGGGTTAAATTTTAAATTACCCAGACCTTGTAGCCTGCACCAAATCTTTCCACATTGTGTTTATTTATGAAGCAAGGCCCTTAGAAGGAAGGCACCCAGCCATTCAGAAGCCCTGCTTTGGAGGTTCATTACATACAGTAACCTCCTTGACTGAGAGAGGCATTTCTCATAGCTTTCAGATGATTCATGCTGAGCTTGTGACTACATTATCCCTGAGGAGATCAACTTTTCTGACATTTGTTAGGTGAAGATCTTTAACATAGCTATGATGTGATCTATTAATGGATTTGTGGATCAAAACCAAGGTTTGAACTATCAGCAAAAGGAATCAGTGAAAGAACCACAGCACAAGTTTATAACAGCCTAAATCATGAAAGAGGAGAGAAGCTGTATTTTGCTAGAGAGGAACCCTTGCTTTTTTTTCAAATAGTTGGCTACAGACACAACAAGAGGAAATGATCGTGAAAAGATAGATAATCATCATGTCTCAACATTATTAGACATCTTTTTCTAATTATCAACATACTCCCTTCCACTTACATAATACTGACCTATATCATAACCACATTCATAAAGATTAAGAAAAAAAAATCCTCACTTCCCTACTATGTGAGCAAGATTATGGCAAACATGCTTTTTAAGGAATTGTTTTCATTTTCGTAAAGTTTTTGTGCATGGTTCAAGGTCAGGCATATAACAGAAGACTGTTTCTCCATAATGCTTTTTTTAAATCATTTAGCAAAAGGAGAGAACCACAGGCATTCCCTTATTCATAGACCACTAAAATTTTAGTTGTCCAGAGTGTGCTGACAAATAAAGTAGGAAAAACTTTTAGGAAAATTTGAAGGATTTTGAAGGATTTATTTTTATGGAATAAACTTATGAAGAGTAATTACACAATGCATATAAGATCATTATACTGCTCAAATATGCATTGTCAAATTTAAAAAAGCTATTAAACAGATTAACCTTCTTATGCGTTACTAGAAACATGCAAGAAAAGTGATTCTTAACATTTTCTGTTCCAGAACCCATCTTCAAGTCTTTTCATTCTATTTATTTGTGACCTCCCCCAATTATCAATGTGGAAAAAGTAAGTAAGATAGTGACAGCATCTAGATTGAGACCCCATGTATTAGAACAGGGCTGTCATACTTTTAAGTAGCTAGGGCCCCATGCCCTGTAGGTTGCACTAGCATGAAACATGAGTCTCCCAAGCTGCACCATGCATTTGGGTTACCTCCTCTCTCTACCATTGGCCCAGACACAGGCATCCCCAAACTCATCTTCAGCTCTTCTGCTGCACATCTACCCAGGCTGCAAGCTTTCCAGGCATGTCAAGCTGCACCACCCCACCCCACTCCACTCCAGGGGCAAGACAGGAACTGGAAGCAGGAGGAGGAAAGGGAGCTCAGGGATACAGGCTGCTGTAGCCAGAGTGGTGGAGGAAGCAGCATCTGGGGCTCCTGGCATCTACAGTAATGGAGCAATTACTGTATTAATCCCATCATGAATAGCAATATGCCACGTGATCATCAAATTTATGGCACCATAAAATAGCAACCTAGCCACAAAGATGTTTCACAAAATATGTGGAACATCATTATGGCTGGTTTGTATGGTGCCAAAATGTGGGTTGTCCCATTATGCTGACAATCAGGACTTGACCAGTCCCCAGTCTGGAGCCTGGATGAGGGCACTAACCAGGTCCTGATGCTGACAATTGCCGATTGTCAGCATTAGGATGCAGGCTTGTTGAGTTGTTGCAACAGTTGTTAACTTTGTGTATTTTTAGTATTAATTAATAATCTAAGGTAAGAATAATCAATACAATCTTTTAAAAGATGTTGCTCATATAGTATATGAACAAAGATACATATGGTGTTTCAGTTTTAATCCATCAAGAAGCTTTGATAACTTTGATGAATAGCACATTATGAAGCACTAGGAAAACTTACAAATAGCACCTCACTGGCACCAAAGGTATTGAAGGACAGATGGTACATTTTTACTTCATTGTGGATTGACCTGTTTTTGATTGTCTCACTGCCTCAACACATTTTGTATTTAGGAGCGATCTAAAAAAAATCTTACAGAAATCTCTATGATGGCTGACAGTTGATCGAATCAAACTTAGAATCTACCCAGATGCACCAGTTTACCTAAGGTCATACTTGTTTCATATCTGATCACAGAGAAGATATTTCCATGCCTA